TGTCCATCAGAGCCTTCCACCTGACAGTTCTAGAACAATAGGCAGCTGCATTCATGGCAAAATGGAAACTTCATTCATTAATTACAATTGGCAGCTGACCCAGAAAGAGGAATATCAGTGTATGCAATTTACTCAGAAAATCATCATTTTAGGGCTGCTGCAGAAATAATTTCTATACAGGTGAGGTAAAAATGTACATTCCAACTGTCAAGGCTCTAAGCTACTCAAACTACAATTACCTCTGTTGTTGATTATTTTGCCATTTTTAACATAACTCTCATGTGACACTTTGCTAAGAGCATGAAGTTTTCAAGGGTATTGAGAATGGGAAGCTGGCTGGTGGCTCAGTGGTCAAGAATTTGTGCCAATGCAGGAGACGCGGGTTCCATCCTTGATTAGGGAAGATCGCACATGCCACAGAGCAACTAAACGCATGCACCCAACTACTGAGGCTGTTTTCTAGAGCCCAGGAGCCACAACTACTGAGCCCACATGCCCTAGAGCCTGTGCTCCAGAAGGAAAGTCAACACGATGAGAAGCCTGTGCACCGCAGCTAGAGAGTAGCCCCACTACACCACAACTAGAGAAAAGCTGCACAGCAGGGAAGACCCAGCATAGCCAGACGTAAATAAATAACATTTAAAAAGAACGGGGCGCTGGAAATGGCCTAAAGTATTTTGTCTTACAAAGGTGACTTAGAAACTTGAACATAGCCTGGCCCAGCTGGAAGTAGAAGGCTCCTGTTGTCTGCCCTCTAAATCTGCACAATTATCACCACCCTTTCTCCTCCCTTCTCTTTGCCATGATCCTAAACCTCACTTCTACTTCCCAGCTTTTTAAGGCAGAAATATGGTAAATCCTGAAAAATGATATATGCTTGTAAAAACCTGCTACAATAGTAGCAGTTGTGATGACATCGTACCTTGACAGTTGCTAATAAGGTTTGCTCCCTCCAACACAGAAAAGAATCTGTCTTGCCTCTGGGTATGAGGTTAAACTGAGATTATCTGGTCAGTAAACAGAATCCCCCATGCCTCAGGCAGCCATGGCCTTGACAAGACTGCCTGAGCTTGTAGCAAAGGCCACGGAAGACCACAGGTGTTTGAGATTTGGGGGCAGCTTGAATTGTCAAGACCTTATAGGGACACATATCTCTTCCTGTTACAGATGAGGGAATCTCAAGTGGGGAAGAGCAGTGTAGACCAGATCATGGGAAGACTAGTGGTCGAGTCTGAAAAACTCACTGGGGTGAGGTAAAGTGAAGTGAAAGCCGTTCAATTGTGACCATCACTTTTTGACTCCATGGACTGTAGCCCACCAGGTTCCTCTGTCCATGGGCTTTCCCAGGCAAGAATACTGGAGTGGGTTGCCATTTCCTTCTGCAGGGGATCTTCCTGACCCAGGGACTGAACCTGGGCCTCCTGCATTGCAGGCAGACTCTTTACCATCTGAGCCACCAGGGAAGTGGTAGAGTCTGAAAAATTCACTGGGGTGGCCTTGGGCTGTTTCCAATACAAATAGGATGTGAGTCCTGGAGTTCCTCACTTTGCTGAAAAGTTTAAAGCACTTCTGTTACTCATCATGTGTTTAGAAACGGAACAAAAATATTTTTGTTATATGTGTAAAGAAGTCATTTAATAGTAAAAATATACTTGCATGAGAAATCTCTTCTTTGTCTCCCTATCAGCATCCTCATTTAATACATGAAAACATTACAGCAGGAATCAAAGGCCTCCTGCCATCTCTCCTCTTTTTTTTTTTCCAGCTTCATGTTCTTTCTCTGCTCTTTTTTCCAACTGTCTTCTCCCTGTGTTATGGATGGAATTGTGTCCCCCAACAAATCCATATGCAGAAGCCATAATCCCCAATGTAATAGTATTTAGAGACGGTGCCTTGGGGAGGTAATCATTAATAGACAAGGTCATGAGGGCAGGACCTTCTGAATGAAGTTAGTTCGCTTGTAAGAAGAAATATCAGAGAACCTGTGATCTCTTTCTCTACCATGTGCAGACACAGCAAGAAAGCCACTGTCCACAAAGCAGGCAGAGTGCCCTCAACAGAACCTAATCTCACTGGCACCCTGATCCTGGGCTTCTGAACTCTAGATCTACGACAAAATTCATTTAACAAGTATTCCTTAAGTATTTAACAAGTATTCCTTAAGAGATGCAGCCTATGGTATTGTGCTGCAGCAGCCTGAGCTACCGAGACACGCTGACTCGTTTTCTTGTTGTCTGTCTTCTCTACTACACTCTACCGGGAGGGCAGAGAGCGAGGAAATGACCTAGTGACTGATAGCCTATGCAAGGCCACACTGCTGCATTTTTGCCCCTTTATCATTAGAATTCAGTGAACAAAGTATCCTACCTATATTGCAATATGTTACAAAAACATTTTTTAAAAAAATAGTTTTGACCACTCTGCCTTTGGAAATGGCACTAAACTCCTTTCTTTATTGTGCAATTTGTAGAAAATAACTTCTCCTGAAAAGAGAGGAAAACCTTGGAATAGACTGAAGGAGAGGTCAAAGAGAAAGAAGACGACAGGCACAGACAAGGAGAGATGCTTCTGATGCCCCCTCACCATCCCTGAGCCTCATGATGCCCAGCCCTGTCCATGTTGCCTGCCAATCCTTCCGTCACACCTTCCTGCTGCCACTTTCCATCTATTCTTTCATCTCCTGTTGAAACTCACTTCAGTCCCTAAGAAGCCATTCTCCCAAGCCCAGATTTCCACGCCTCCACCTTCTGGAGTGGCTTCCTGGCCCTGGTGGCTCAGACAGTAAAGAATCTGCCTGCAGTGCAGAAGGCCCAGCTTCAATCTCTGGGTCAGAAGATCCCCTAGAGAAGAGAATGGCTTCCTACTCCAGTGTTCTTGCCTGGAGAATTCCATGGACAGAGGAGCCTGGCGGGCTCATGGGGTCACAAAGAGTCAGACACAACAGAGCAATGAACACTTTCACCTTCTGGAGTAACAGAAAAATGATCCATGTGCTAATGGTTGAAGACCAGCAAGACTCCTTACTAAATAGCAACTGTACATCTTAACTAGAGTCATCTGCAGGAAACACATCCAACTGCATTTCAAAGAGCACTCAGCCAAAAGCAAACTCCAGCTCAGCGCTATGCAGGAGAAATATGATGGCAGCCACAAACGCCAGCTGCTTATGATACTTTCAATTTTCTAGTAGCCACATCTTTAAAAAGTAAAAACAAAGGAGTAAAATTGATTTTAAAAATGTATTTTAGTGCAACATATACAAAATCATTTTAATACAGTTTTTAAAATTTAAATGAGACATTTCACATTATTTTCAAGCTGTCTTCCAAATCAAGTGTGTATTTTATACCTATAGCATGTCTCCATTCACACCAGCCACATTCAATTGCCTAATAGCAACATGGGGCAAGAGGCTACTGTATTGGGGTAGCCCAGCTGCAGTCAGAGAAACGGTGAGGCCTGGCAAATCAGCAAATGAGAAAGGCCCCCCTTCCCCAGCCCATGAACACCCTCTTCTGGGCCTGAAAGCACAGACCTATTGAAGAGGGAACGCATTAAATGCTCCTTTGAGATGAGACTTTTTTTCATTGCTTTTTAAGAAAGGCGCTCAAACTACCATCTCCTTAAACATTACTGTTAGAATTTCAAGTGTACAGGAAAGAAATTTTTCTGTGGTTTCTCGAAGCATAGTATAGCGCTGGTAATAATTTCTGTGAGGGCAGAACAGCCTGATTTCTAACTTTTGTAAAGCCAAAGCATCATGTCCACGGTGCAAAGTGGTGTTCAAAGCTTTCACTCCATGATCTTGCGAAAATGATGACTGCAAATTAGTTTTGTTTGCTGAGAGATGGATGACTCCCTGCCTGCATGGACTATCACAATAAAGTTGCCCCATTTTAGAAGGTGTGTAGGCACACAATAGTAGCAGGCGTTTGTATCCTGGACTTCACCTTATGTTTCTTTTAGGTACAGCTGTGCGGTGTGTTTTCACTGGGGTTTGAGTAATGGCTGGACCTTCAATTATAGCAATTAACTGTCAACACCATGTGCCAGGTTCATCCATATGCTATTGGTTCAATTAATCCAACAAAGACACCCAAGCTCTTGACATGCCTTACTTCTTATAGCTGAAGTCTGCCTTTTATACAACTTAGAGGTTATTTTAATGGTAGAAATATCTGGATTAGAGTGGTTGGGGCAGGGGAGAATACTGCTAAAATCTAGTGGAATGAGGTTTCATTTTAATAGATAAAACTTCTGATGGTCTCCTGATATTTGCTTTTAAGGATTTCCTGTTGCCAGCCACTATTCCTTTATCTCTGTTGAAATCTCTCTCTCTCCTTCCTTACTCAGGCCTTTGTCTTTATCTAAGGGGTTAGATGATAGAAACTAAAGATAAGTTTTACACTCAGGAGGTATGTGATTTTAGTAAGACATACTGAAAAGTCTTCAGACCTAAAGAAATTGATCTGTATACCATGCTATAGAGTTTTCCTGATCACCTCAGATTACATCCTTGCCAACTCTAAAGTTGACTTGGGTTAAGAAACTTGTATTTTCTCATTATTATTTTCCCCAAAAGGGGCAATGGCAACTTTTTTTTCCAGTCAAATTAAGATTTACATTGAAGTGTATTTCTACCAGATTGTGAAAAATTCTTAAGGAAAAGGATATCGCTGTTTATTGCATTTTTAAGGACAGTTCATTCCCATGGTTAATTGAAAGATAAATGCGTATAAAAAAGAGTTGGCAAAAACTGATTCTCCTCCCTCTCCAGAGGCTTCTAAGATTTTTTTCACGAGCACCCAGAGTCTTTCCCCACACTCAATTCAGATTCCTTTCTGAAAGGAATTCAGATTCCAGTATATCTGGCCAAATGATGCAACATCTGTGTTCTCTTTTAAGAACATGAGAAATGAAGCTTTTTCATCTTCCCTCTCTTTGAGTTCTGGGAAACCTAATTAAAACTGCTCAGGTTTTCCTTTTCTTATTTGCCTTAGAAGACAGCTCACTGGAAGAGTCCTGTGGTGGTCTCCCGCCTGTGGAAGGTGACCGAAAAATCAGCCTGATTATGGAGTTGTCGACTCAGGTTTCCCTTCAGACTGAGAAGATCGCTCAGCTGGAAGAAGTTTTAGAGGAAAAGGAAAGGAAGATTCAGCAGCTGGAAGCTGAGCGGGAGGCCCATTGTTTCCCAGAGGTCAAGGACTCTCCAGAATGTTTACAAGAAACCCCAATTTTCTCTAATAATAATAATATTTCTCCTGTGGTTTATGATGAGGATTTGTAAAGATACCCAATAAAAAAACAATAAAAGTTTATTAAGTGTCATCAATGTAAAATCCAGAGCCCAAGCAATCTCCTCATTGCTGCTGCTGCTGCTGCTGCTAAGTCATTTCAGTTGTGTCTGACTCTGTGCGACCCCAGAGACGGCAGCCCACCAGGCTCCCCCGTTTCTGGGATTCTCCAGGCAAGACCACTGGAGTGGGGTGAATCTCCTCATTGGTAAACTCAAATTCAAGTTCATGGGTCTGACTATCCTATAAGGTTCATGTTGGAAGGAAAGTAAACAAAGGGAGGTCTTCAGATGCAAACACTGAACCCTTTAGACATTTGCCATATAATCCACACAGCTGTATAATACTATGTTTTTAGACATTCCTGATACTAGAGGGAGAGGGAAAAACACAAAACTAGACAGATGGTCAAAGAGCTTAGCATCATCCTCTTACCAGAGCTTTGTCACACCGCAAGGGAGGTGTGACACATATTCCATTTTGTTATGCAGCTCGACTGTGAACAGAAAGCTATCGTGGAGGGTGAGTTTCAAGCTGGGGAATGATGGGGTACTGAAAGAATAATCATTCTTAGCAGAGTAAATAGCCATGACTTCTGTCCTTTTGTAACCTCTAGAATACATTTCTCTATTGCGTGTATTTCATTAGCATTTAGCAAGGGTAGAAATGAAGTAAAACCAAAGCAATCAAAAGAATGGATGAATCAGAGCTGCAGTCCTTTGGGAAAAGTGTCCTGGGACAACATCTCCCTGGGAAAATGGGTTACACTCGCTTTTCCCTTACAAGTAACACTAAGACCAAAGCAAAATATCAATGAGCTGTGGGACAGCATAAAAATAATAAATAATAGAGTATAAGCAAATGAAAGCAACCCTGTGATTAATGGAATAGAAGATGTCATATATATTCCTCTCCCACACATTCCCTTCAGATGAACCACTTCTCATCCAAAGAGAGCAGTTGGTTACTATGGCTTAAGTTGTTTAAGACCCTGGTGCTTAATTCTTACTCTTTTGGTACAGCATGACTCAGGCACACAGCTATAGCTCTTCCATGAGTCTGACTATTGCTACTTCTCAATTTAATTAATCAGTTCAACAAATATTCATCAAAACTCTTCAGGGACAATAATAGATACTAGCAATATTGTAGCAAACATGAAAATCACAACTTCACAAATCATTCAGGAGTTCACACAGTTAAGAGTCTCCTTAAAACAAAGTTTCTAAACCTGACTCTTTTTAAAGGAAGTATTGGGTTTTGGACTCATAATAGCTTTGCAACGTTGACTCTAGAGGTTCACTACAAAATAAAACCACTGGTTCTGCCAGTAGGTTCTATGTTCATATATAGCAAGAGTCTTCCCATATTTGTTTTATAACCTCAGATTTTCAGCTGAAATGTGAGCAATACACACAGTTGTAGTCCATCATCAGAAATGAAACCAACTTAAAGTTTCATGATCATAAATACACAACTATCCCAGAGGGTGACTCGAAAAGCACTTTTCCACAGCTCCAAGAGAAGCTTTTCCATGAAGTTTACCTAAGTTCTTCATTTTAGAAATCCCTTCTCTCTGGTACCTCCTCCTTACTTCTTCAAACTTTTTGATCCCCATTGTCTTTTCTGTTTCTTTGGTTCCAAAGAGGGTTCCCTGTTCCAATTTCGAAGTTCTGCCAGTTGCATCTGACACCATAGTAAGAATGAACATTGCCATGTTTTTCCTGTGTATTACTGTGAGAAAGCTTTAAATTTTTCAGTTAGTTGAGGGGACTATCTCCAAGAGAAACTATTGTCTCTGCAACTTTGATGTGCTATTTTGATAAGCAAGTCTCCATTTCTTTATTTTACTAGATTGTCTTAATCTCATGGGATCCTGAGGCTAAGATGACAAATAGGGAGAGGGGGAAAAAACTATCACATCCCAAAAAGGAGCGTGTTCGCTTCTAGATCAATTTCCCCTTGTCAATGTCATGGCTAGCCCTCAGCATGAAAGTAGCCTGACAGTGGAGATAAAGTAACAGGCAGACCTGGAGCTGCTGTTAATAATTAATGGAGCCTGTCACCTCTACATATCTAAGGACCAGTCACTGGAGAAGAAATCATCAAGAGTCTTAATACCCTGCAAACCCATCTTTACAAGAAACTGATCTTGAGTCAAGTCTAGGTTATCCCCAAATCAGAAGTGGAGAAGAGATTTGGTCCAAAGGTAAAGAGACTAATCTTTGTTAACGACAACTTGGTAATAAGAATTCTTTAAATATTTTAGTTTTATGAGGAGGGGGAAAGATGAGAAGAGGTGTTACTGGTCTCTGAGACACAAGTACAAAATTTCACAATCCCTACTGAACATTTATGCCACTATATGCCCCTCAAAGTTCATTTCCATTTTCTGCCATTCCTCCAGATAATTGGGTCATAAATTTCAGGTTGTGCCAAATAGCTGGTTCAGACAAACTAAAAATCAGATAATAGCCCACCCTGTAAGCCAAAGTCTCATTTTCTTAGAAGCCAGCTGGATTGTTGAAATAGTCTACTGATTTTTAAAATATGTGGTGTAAATATCACAAGGCAGATAGTATGCTGATGACTTTATTCTTAAAGAAAATTTAGGAAACCATCAGGTATCTGGTTCTAACTAATTGGAAATCTAAAAAAGTAAACTAATTAACAAGTAACTAAAGCTATTCTCTAACAGTCTAAAAACATTCATAGAAAAATAGAGTTTTAATTCTACTTTTTCACCAGTCATTAACTATTCTCAGAGAGGAAGTTAAGTTGAACATGTGGTATGACTCATCAACTTAAATAAATGCTGTATTTTTTTTAACAATTTCATTATTATGTGCTTGGCAAGCTGAAATCATAGTAACAGACTTATTAAAGATTAGCAGGAAAGCAAGTTATCAGAGAAACCAACCCAGAAATGTGAAGGAGATGCCCTAGAATTCAATTAAGTTAATAAAAAAGCAAAGACACTATAGTATTTTTGACAAAAACATTTCTGGGAAAGAATGAATTCAGTGAAGTTTCAGTTATCTCTGATGCTCTCCGCTTACCCCCAAACCCTATTATTTCCTTCTACATTACTCTGAAGTAAAGAATTTTTGCTTTAATAAGTAGAGAAGTGCTGATGAATGCTGCAGGCCTAAGTCAAAATAATATTTATCTGGCAATTATCAAGTATAGGGACTGCAGAGACAAAACTATTTCCAACAGACATAAGAAAACAAACATATTTAAAGAACTTGGAAAAAAAAATGCTTGCGATTCAAAAGTTTGACTCTCATAGTTTGAAAAAATAGACAAAAAAAGAAAAAGTAAATTGTAAAGAATAAATGGTTGCTATAATTTCTGCCCTGCTATTACAACAAAATCTTGTTAGGATTTCCCATACACAAGAAAATGTTTTCGCTCATAGAGGAAAGTCAAGTTCAAGTAGGAAATTAACCTTTTTAAAATAAAAGTACTAGTACACTGGGACAAAGTTCACAGCAAAAGACAGGGTTGGCCACGAGATCTCCCATACCTAATGAAATTAGGACTTTTACAGTAAAACAAAACTAAAAACAGCTTTAATTTCCAGGTTCCAAGAGAAATTAAGTATCTAAATTAGATACTCAGTACATTCCCAATAACATGAACCTGTGGCAAGATGACATTTAATAGTCTAACCATTTCTATCCCAAATGTCTTAAATTTGCTTTTTATTTAAGAAAGAACAACCCTTAGTGCTCAAATCCAGTAATGACAAATCCCGTGTTTTTGGATGGAAAATATCACAGAATGTATTGTCTAATAATCCTTTAATCCATTTTCTTAAAAACCACAAATAAGCTTAAATAAGAGTTTATTGTCTGATTTCACCTTTTCAAAGAATGATATAATCACAGGCAAAGGATGACAGCTGAATGAGAGAGAAAGAGCTAGACTTCCACCATCTCTTTGTCTTATGGGGTTCAAACAATACTAACAGTGAGTTCTAGTTAAAAGAGAAAAGCTAATAATATAATCCTTGGCCCTGTAATAAAAAGGTGTGCCTTATTATCCTATTTGAATGAAGTTGGTATGGTGATGGTGAAAGAAACAAACAGCTAGAGTGGATGCCACATTATCTTGCTAGGGACCTGCATTTACTAGCCAACAGTTATGTATATAGGAACATAACTAATATTTACATATCAATTTATGATTATTTAAACATTTTCAAATAGATTATTTAATTTTCATGAGGTAGGTTTTAGTTAGGTAATTAATCACAAGTTTATAAGTAGGAAATGCCAGAACCAGGGCCTCTGGCCCCCAGACCAGTATAATTTTCACAACACTCACCACCTCTCTGCAGTTATGTAACAAAGACATTTATTGTCTCCACCTCTTTCGCAGGTCAGCCCTCATTTCCATTCATAGGAAAAACAATCTTCCATGGGTACCTACCTTCTCCAGCTTATTCCATAAGAGGAGTCAAAAAACTGTCCAGATTCAACCGATCAACTTATTGGTTAAGTCAAAACTCTGTTTTAGCTGTTGTTTGCCCAGTGTGTTTTGTTTTAAAGTAAATACTTCTAAGAAGAGTGAAGATGCACTGTATAGTTTGCCCTGGGCCCCACTATTTCCTACTGTCTTCAAGCAGGCTGCTTAAGACACTGATCTCAACTGCTCTGTAAATAAATGGTCTGGAATCCCTGCCTGAAATACATTGTGTACACCAGGTCCAATTTTGTAGGCTGTCACCATAAATTTCCACATTTGGGTTTTTGATTTATAGTCTAATATACACTCAAAATGAGAAATTTTTAGACAAAATGAGTACATTACATCTTACCCTCAGTTAATTTAAACATTTCAGATAGATTATTTAACTTTCATTTTACATTCAGTGGTAATGCATATTCCCACATGCAGGACAGAGACAGCACAAAAAAAGACCTAAAGGAAGTAACTAAGAGTTCACTGCAGCTTCCTCATCAGCTCAGAACAGTTTCTAATTTTT